CGAGCGCCTAGCATCAAATCACTTAAACGTGAAATTTGTGCTTTTCATAAAGATAACATGCTATCTACTCAAGTTGAAATTGCAGCCCATTTCAACGTCAAGTATAATCTAGATGTTGACCAGACAACTGTCAGTGAGATAGTAAATGAGAAAGATAAGCGGCTTTTTATTGAAGGTATGTCTAAAAGTGTTTTTGATTAAGCATTGAACGATTTCCAAACGATATGTATTTTAGAGCAAGAAGTGTTGTCTATTGAGTTTGATGATGCATTAACTTATCTAGACGTCGAACTGAATGATGCTGTGGCACTGAGAGAACGGGGCGAAGTCTATCGCTTGCTTTACAATTATGACATTGCATTGAAACATTTCAATAAATCATTGGAGATTGAACCGAATCATGCTTGGACGTTGAGTCGAAGGGGAGATGTCTATTACAATCTTGATAAATATGATGAAGCGTTGATGGATTTCAATAGCGCATTGAACATTGAACCAAACCAAATATGGGCTTTGAGCAAAAGGGGTCATCTTCTTTACTGGCTTGAACGGCATGAGGATGCATTAGTTGATCTTAGAAAGTCGTTGAAAGCTAAACCTAAGAATGCATGGGTATTAAGAACAAGAGGAGCTATTTATTTTCTGCGTAACAAGAATTATGCCGCTGTGAGAAATTTCAGTCAATCATTGTCCATTGAACCTAATGATGCATGGACATTAAGTAGAAGGGGAGAAGTTTATTGTGCACTTGAACAGTATAATAATGCTATTAACGATCTCAGTAGATCGTTGTCGATCGAACCTAACGATGCATTCGCATGGAGTAGAAGAGGAGAACTTTATTATATGCGTAAGCATTATGTCGGTGCATTGAATGATTTCAGCAAAGCATTAGAGATTGAACAAAATGACGCATGTATATGGAAGAAAAGGGGAGATATTTATTACAGTCTTGGGAAATACGAAAATGCATTGCATGATTTCAACAAATCTTTGGCGCTTGAACCACACGATACGTTTTCATTAAAGAAAAGAGGGAACGTCCATTACTGGCTCAATCAATACGATAATGCGTTGATCGATTTTAACAAATCATTGGAGCTTGAACCAAATGATGCTTTGGTACTGAAGCAAAGAGGGAATGTCTATCGTATGCTTTGGCAAAATTTGGACGCCCTTGACGATTTCACTAAATCGTTGTGTATAAATCAAAACGACGTATGGGCATTAAAGTACAGGGCCAACGTCTGTTATAGGATAAGAAGGTATGCAAGTGCACTATTCGATCTTGATAAATGTCTGTCCGTTGAACCAACTGATGCTTGGGCGTTGAGGTGCAGGGGATCCGTTTATTACCAGCTTGGGCAGTATGATAAGGCATTGAACGATCTCAATAAATCTTTGGAGTTAAAGCCTGATCATGAAAAGACACATATAACAAGAGGAGATGTTTACTACAGCCTCAAACAGTACGACAAAGCGTTGAGTGATTTCAATAAATCGTTGTGTCTTAACCCAACTAACGCATCAACGTTGAAAAAAAGGGGAGAAGTTTATTACAATCTTGAGCAATATGATAATGCGTTGAAGGATTTCACTATATCTTTGGAACTCCAACCAAATGATAAATGTACACTTGGTATGAAGTTTCTAACTATTTATGAACTTGCGGGGAGGAATGAAAACTGAAAGTGACAGTAAGAGTAGTAATTTGAACGAAATTTGTACCGCGTAACTATATACGTTCACATTAATGTTTGCAAAGTACAAGCATAGATCGTATTCTAATGTTTCATATAGATGAGCTTTAATTATTGCAATTTGTGCGCGCGCACATTAATTAGCATATTGTAAGGATTGAACCCCACTTTTTTTTTTTTTTGTTTATGCCTCGATCTCAGCTTGCTACATTTTCTTTGGCAATGACCAGTACCAAAGCTCGCCTTTCAATCTAAAGTTATGCTGCTTATATGGTATGCTGCTTGACGGGCGGGAAACCAACCTTTATATAAAGTTTTGATAAAATTACATTTACCGTGCGTGCTAAAATTAGTGTATAATTTACGTACAACAGATTGAATATCCCACTTACAATCATATAATGAACTGAATGGATTAGCGGAAAGATGGTTGTGAACTATTAATACGAGTATTGCGAATGTTATACCAGTTTTGATAGTATACCAGTTCTCTTTATGATTACCCTACAGCCAACTGACGTTCAATTCCATGAGTTTAGATTAAATTTAGGTGGCATTCAATTACCCGACAATTATTGGCCCAATTATGATAACATGATAATAATAACTGTCGGGCAAATGGCTGTCTGGCAATTGAACCAAATTCAGATAAACATAATAATTTATCTGTTATATCGTACGCTAGCTAGCAGTGGATGAATCATTAACGAATTGATAAACCAATTTCAATCATTTTATGAGTTTAGAACTAAATTTCAGATGTACTATTACTTGGCCAAGCAATCGTCATTTTATGAACTTAGATAAAAATGTAAGCTTACATATTAAGTTTTAAACATGTCAAATTAATTTTTGGTGTCCCGGCCGGCGATATGTACAGTCAGTTGTATACAATTAGCGTAGATAATTAACTGATTTTGTCATTACGAGAGTGTATTAAATAAGTAAAGGAAAATAAAGTCGTAATTTTAGCCTAGATGAACATATTTTACTCACTAACTGGTCAAGCCGCAATACCAGTTCCAGTATTAACACTTTAACACTGATTCCTATTAATTAGTGGTGTTTGATAAGTACATGTATTAAAGATCAGCACAGCATAGTAAACTATACTGTTATGTGGCGTTAATGGCACTAACTCAACTCGTGATGTTTGTATATATTCTATTTCCTTTTTATTAATCAGTGGCGTTTGATAATATTGAAGTCAGTACAGTTATGGAAATTTAGCATAGTTAATGATTGATTATTAAACTCGTTGATATTGTCTAGCGAAAAATGACTAGTGGCTTTGAGGGCACTCAACTCGTGAAATACTTATTAATATTCAGGATTCGTTTTCAAAAGGGGGTTTGGATATTGCGATTCATAGAAATGCAATGAATGTAACAGTTTCTATAGATATAAATAAATATATAAACATAACAAATCCGAATAGATTAAATATGTTGATTAATTACTAATCGGCATTGTGAAAAATAATACTTTGAATAAATATTCGCATGTTTAAAATAGACTTTAAAGAATTGTCCAAATAAATAAGCATCGCTTCTTAATATCGTACGGATTATAATTGACTACATGCATGAAATAATATGCTTAACATTCAAATTTTTTGAGCGCAGCATTTTGGATAAAAAGTACAAAAAGTGACGCAACACATAGCAAACTTGTAGAAGCGGTTGCGTACTACGTTTTGTTTTTATTCAATGCGTAACATCGAACAGAATTGAAAGCTATTCAATTAATTAATATGAAACAATAGAAACAATTCTTTATCAAAACAGGCCCATCACATATCCATTTCTTGATACCTTAACTATCGCGAGGAACTTTTCTTCACAACGAGGTGCTCGCTAAAGCCCAGTTTAAGCTGTTTTTATCTATCTACATATATGCAGACCTGATGATACCTTAACATAACAAAGTGGCAGTAAGACACATGAACTATGTTGGAAACACCGTTACCTAGATGCTAGTCACCAATAATGTTGTGCTAAGTACGTTTAACTTTATAACGTTTGATGACACGCGCATATAAAACCTTATAAGTGGCTTTCTATGTTTGTAAGACTACCATGTCAATGAGTGGTCTGATAACTAGTAAATAATTGATCAGAATTGAGAACGAAAAGTCTATAAATCTGTTTATCAGATTTATTATTTTACTTTTAACCTCCCCGATTCGGAATGGAGATTAAACACTACCGTACTAAACAAACATTGACGAGACGAGATATTCGAATCCTCTTTTCCGTTTTATTGTGTTTTTCTCACTTATCCCGCTTGCAACAGCATCTATTGTCGATGACTCTTATTCGTCATACCAAGATCCATATGACGCAATTCTTATCCCGCTTTTCCCAATCACCTTTGTCGTGCTGGACGGTATATTGTACAATACAGTTACGTGGGCCATTCTACTAATGGTGTCATTTGCCTATGCTGATTCCAGTTGTAAAAGTATTTTCAATTGCAAACATGTGTCTACATGTTGTTGTTTGTGCCTTGATTGCATTAATCAAATGGCGGCAAATTGGGTACGGCATGGTGATATGTATATATGGGAGGGCATAACATTTGTTTCGTTAATTCCAGCATTCTGGATAGCTTACTTGGTGACCAAATGGTTGTTTCAATTAGCTTATTATTTATTGTTTCGTTTGGCTTTAATTCCCATTCTTGTGGGCGCTCTGGTAGTTAAGTCGCTTGACAAGACGGCCGACACAATAATTATCCTTTTTGCAATCTGCTTTATGCCCCAACTTTTTGCAAATATTATTGATTTTGTTAATGCAAAAACGTGCGTTTTAGTTGTATTAGTACTATTTTTTACTGGAAGTAATATATCTTACTTTACTGATAAGTACCAAGGATTTTTTGGCAACTTCAACAGCGGTAGTTCAATATGAAATTCGTGACCTTATAGATGAAACGAAAAGTAAAAATGTTAATACCATGAATCTAGTATGAATGTACACCCCCTTTCAGCAAAATAATAATCAATGTTTTATCACAAAGTTTTTGATACATGTTCTTGTAGCGATATATTCTAAAGTATATCATATAGTGACATTTCAAAGTTTTTTGGTATAACAAAATACTACGTATATAATTTATATCAAAAGACTAATTTAAGTACCAGCGTGACCTGAGGTATTATTACTGCAGAAAGAGATATACAGTATTATTGCACGTTGAAATAGGTATCGAATAAGTGATAGCCAATAAGATACTTTATATCGCCAAAGGACAAGACGATTCCCAATAAAAATAATCAAGCATAGCAATAATAGAGTAATGTTTCTTATTGATACGAGCAAGTATAATACAGGACTGGAAGTCATTCCCGGCTACCGTAAACCGTAATGAATCATCATATACTCAGCCCGTCATATCTAAAGAAAACGCGATGAAGAACATAGACACTCGGTTGTTAATGTTAACAATATGCAAGGCACTGAAGCCAGAAATATATCAATACTGGCAGTTACAACAGCAAGTGCTATGATTGAATGTCCCAACAAATAGGATTACAAGACTTGATAACGCCCATCTGATTCGTCAGTTTAGATGCCGGCTTTATTACACCATACGTATGCATATAATAACAGACATCGTCACTAAACCAACTCTAGTCATAATAGTAATTGGTTTTGTACGATTTATGTCGATATTGCATAAATCAGCTTTGTATTGAATGTAGAGTTGCTCGTAGCGTTTATGGGAGCGGATTAACTTTTATAGACGGATTCGTTACTTATTTCTGTATTTAGGAGGCCTGATAGCTTTATTTAATCACATCAAGCATTTAATTTGTTTGTTTCTACCATATAAAAGAAAATGTCCAAGAATCCAGGAAAGCAGGCGCCCAGCAACGATTCACTTAAACATGAAATTTGTGCCTTTCATAAAGATAACATGCTATCTACTCAAGTTGAAATTGCAGCCCATTTCAACGCTAAGTATAATCTCAACATTGACCAGGCAACTGTCAGTAAGATAATAAATGAGGAAGAAAAGCGGCGGCTTTGTATTGAAGGTATGTCTGAAAGCGTTTTCAATGATCTACTGCTTCTTGAGAACTATAACCATTGGGTCAAAGATTGAACCAAACAATATATGCATTTTAGAGCAAGAGGTGTTATTTTATTGCAAGCTTAGTCAGCATGATGATGCATTAATATTAAATGATCTTAACAAATATTAGAGATTGAACTGAATGATGCTTGGCAACTGAGAGAACGGGGCGAAGTCTATCGCTTGCTTTATAATTATGACAATGCACTGGAAGATTTCAGTAAATCATTATCCATTGAAACTGATGATGCATGGACACTAAGTAGAAGGGGCGAAGCTTATTGTGCACTTGGACAGTTTCCTAATGCTATTAACGATCTCAATAGATCATTGGAGATAAACCCTAATGATGCATTCGCATGGAGTAGAAGAGGGGAAGTTTATTTTATGTGTCACGACTATGACAATGCATTGAATGATTTCAACAGATCATTGGAAATTGAATCAAATGACACATTTGCGTTGAAGAAAAGGGGAGTTGTTTATTATACTCTTGAAGAATACGACAAGGCACTGCATGATTTCAACAAATCTTTGGCACTTGAACCACAAGATACATTTTCACTAAAACGAAGAGGATACGTCCATTACTGGCTTGATCAATACGATGATGCATTGATCGATTTTAACAAATCATTGGAGCTTGAACCAAATGATGCTTGGGCACTGGGGTGCAGAGGGGAAGTCTATCGTATGCTTAAGGAATATGACAATGCGTTGGACGATTTCATTAAATCATTGGATATATGTCCAAACGACTCATGGGCATTGAGTAGAAGAGGCGAGGTCTATCGTGCAACGGCAAAGTATGAAAATGCATTGAGAGATCTTAATGAGTCTCTGTCCATTGTACCAAGGGATGCGTGGACGTTGAGTTGCAGGGGATCCGTTTATTACTGGCTTGAACAATATGGCAATGCATTGTTTGACCTCAATAAATGTTTGGAGATTGAACCTGATCATGATAATGGATGGGCACATAGGGCAAGAGAAGAAGTTTACTGCAAACTCAACCAATACAACAACGAATTGAGTGATTACAACAAGGAGTTGGATCTTAGTCCAACCAACGCACCTTTATTGAGAAAAAGAGGACTTGTTTATTACAAACTGAATCAATACGACAATGCGTTAAAGGATCTCAATATATCATTGGAACTCGAACCAAATAATGAGTGGGCACTGGATTTGAGGAAAAAAGTTTACAGTGCGCTTAAACGATGATAAAAATTAGCCCGTTGTACAAATACAAATCGCATTCTGATGTTTCGCGCACATAACATTATATTGTTATAGAGTGTCTTATAAAAAATTGCCTTACCCTCATGCTTTAGTTTATCAACTGCACCACAGATAATCCCAAAGTCCCACAAATGTTATACCACAAATGTTATACTCTTGGCAATGAAAATAAATTTCACACACTTAAATGTTTTCTACTGACTGGTATAAAAGGAGGGCTTTATGCATGTTGTTTGTCAAGACTTCTTCACATCTTTTCTGGATATACTGTACAACATTATTTGTTCATCTGAGAAGCCATTGTGGATTGCTAAAAGTCTAATAATTGGTGAACTTCAGTGTTTTGTTAATTGTATACAGCCCAGTTTTCTTGAATTTTTAAGACATGCCATAACTTTATTTGCCAACCCAAGCTTCATAATTTTTCCATGGTCTTCAATTGAAATAATGTTGAGAGAAAAAAATTGTACAGAACAACTGTATAACAGCAGCAGTAGACTGAATCCAACAATGTTAGATTTATATTGATGAGAAATGGTTAAAACTTCTTGATTTGTAGAAAATTTTGTCCTTCCATCATTAATAAGTTTGAGCAATGAGGGCACGTCTATATAACTTCTGTGATATCCCTACTAATATGTTTTAAGAATGGAGCTCTATCAAAAACTCTGACATAACCATTCTCTATAAATAAGAGCATTTGTAATTCTCTGTCTCATTTATGCCTATTTATATTCTCAGTAGTTCTTGGCTGATTGCATTGATTTCTGTTGTCAGTTACAACACTTAGATAAATGAGCCACGCTCAACAGTCTCTTTGCTTTTTACCTTGATGGGTTGCATCTTGGGTCTCTTCGTATAACTGGAGATCAGTCTTCCGCTTGTGGGACCGCTCCATTGGTAGTAGTGATTGATTGCTTTGTCGAAGAAATCGTAGGAAATTATTAAACCCCAACTGTTTATGATTTATAAAGAACTTTTTCGAGTTTGCAAAAGACATATTGGACGAGATATGGAAGAATTTTTATTATCAGACACTGGAATGTACCAATATTAACTAATCTAGTTAATTAATAAATACCCACGTACAAATACTGATAATATAAAATCAGGAAAATTTTAGTCATACGCTGTCGTCATGATTGCAGGTTAGCAGATTTATGCATGACGTTACCTGCATTGCATTACTGTATTTTGTTATTTTAAGTGTGCCAAATGCATATAAAGTGACAACTTCTTGTGCACAGTCGAGTCACTATTTTGCATCAACGTGTAAGAAACTAAAACAAGTTCTACACAATGTAATAGTAATAGGTAGTGATAGACCTATGCGCCAGTCACGACCGTTTGTATTGTCTGAAAATTGCACGAGTAAGATTAGCTCCGAAGAAATGTAACATGCGTTACGTTGCGCGTACGTACATACAGAGAAACTTCAACATCGATCGAAAAATCAACTGACATATCAAATAAGGCCCTCAACTTGTTAAAGTAGAAACCAATAAACTGTGACTCATTTGTTGCGGTCGGGAATAAAATGGGGTTGTGGGAGAGCGATTTATCTTTCGCGTAGGTGTGTTCGTCGACCTTACCAGGCTTAGCTCCTTACTACGATAGTTGTGCAATTAAGACTGAATTAAGCCTACAAGTGACCTATTAATTAATTATGCACGCTTCTCACTCCTTATCCGAGTTTTAAACACTCGTGAATACAAATAAGAGTGCCTTCAACAGAATAATAACAACAATTATTCTATTAAAGAATCGAAGGGAATAAACCTATTTATAAATAAACAAGGCTAACTTCGATTTGTGTTTTGACTAGTCGACTTGTCTCTAAACTAATTAAACAATGATCGTCACGATAATTAACTATGACCTCTCGCTCCGCGGACAGCTTTATAGCTTGATCAAATCAATTCTATTTTTCCGTTACAGCTTGAGTAAGCCGTTTATTGGAGTATCCGGTCTAATAATCAATTATTTCGACAAAGAATTATGTATTGATAACGCGGGTTCCGGGAGTATAGCGTTTGTACTGTCTTAGATTTTTCGAACCATTTTTGTTTCCTAATACAGCGCGGCGCTGTCCAAAGCGCTATTAAATCTTTTGTGAAACTAAACTAAAATTAGTGTCGATCATGGGTTGTTGGAGGAAGATTTTATCATGTGACTAACCTATCTGATTCATCACAGCGTAACACATAACATTGACGATTGATAATGTTAATAATGTAATATTGAAGACTTTTACCAATGGGGCATGCGCTGAATACGGCTTGTTCTGCAACTCGAGAGATATTATAACAAGCTGTCTTTAATTTAGCTGCTAATATAAAATTTTACAACAATTTGGCAATTTGATTATCCTTTCCAGAACACCTCTTTATTTCATGTTCACAATACATTAAAATCGCAGTGTGCATTGCAGAAATAGATTAGATCTTAGGCTTGCTAAATGTTTACATGTATACTAGATATCCCGTATACTAGCTCTGTATACCTTCAATATTGAACAAATGGAATATTCTGAACATTAGCCTAACAATTGCTGGTATCATCAATTATTGCATCAATATAGCACGTATATACTTACAACATAACCTCTCTACTATCACCCAATATGTTACTGTAAACTTTGAACAATGCACAGAACAAACAATTTTAATTAATAGATTTGCAAAACTACTGTCAGTTATTTGTTAATATGATAGATTTTTACTCAATTTTGTAATACTATGCAACATCCAACTTCTATATAAAGAAATTTTGTGGATAAATAAAATAAGCCTTTGCTTGAGAGAGACAACTTAATGTGCACCTTATGGAAATTGTATTAGGATTAGTTTATTATCATTTTTGGTTGCTGGTGACAATAAATGCTCAGCAATAGTTTTTATAAAATTTTGAAAACAAGGGGTCCCAAATACAAACTAGCTTTGAGCAGTGTAAATTGTGAACATTGTGAATATCAAAAATTAACAATCTTTTGTCAAATAAGTACAGTCAACCTCCCCTATAGTCACACAGTCGGGACTGGATAAAACCTGTGACTGTATGGGGGTGTGACTGTATAGGAGGGAGACTTACATTAGTCATGTGACCTGTATTATTATAATTCTGTTATTTTATTATTATTATTAGATAACAAATTAAAAATCAACGATATTAATATCGGTATCTAACTAGCACTAAAGTAAGCATCAATA